CGTTCTGAAAACCCCAGAACAGGCCGTTCTGGTTTTGGAATGGGTCGTTCTTGGAGAGGCTTTTGTACGTGTTCTACGGGCTCAGAACGAGCCGTTCCAGATTCGGAACAGGCCGGTCTGGCCGCGGCCTGATGCCTATAAATGCGTTTCGGCACTTTACTTAACTAAGATGAGAAGGAAGGTGATTAGTCTTCTTCCTTCTTAGTACCAGTTCAGTATAATGGTGTACAATGCATCATTCACCACACTATCATGCATACACATGCCTATATAAACATCTCAAAACAACAAATATCTCGTCTCATTCTGTTAAATCACTTCTAACTAATCAGAACCACATAAATATACAAACATGCACAAAAGTAAGTACATTTCAAATCCACACATCCATAATCTAATCCAAATCCATACAAACAACATATACACGTATATATATATAAGTATATATGCCAGCCTAATATTTTCATGGCGTTACAATAATGTAAGTAACAAATCTTAAATTATGCTCCAATATCACGTCCATAGAACTCCCACACAAAGTCAAGGTCTCGTCTCCAGGATCATCAATGTCATGATGAATCTCACCTACAACAATATACATACAAGAGCAACAAAAAAAAAAGAGGAATAAGAAATGTCTCACTCTAGTTCACGATGTGAAATAAGGTCAAATAGTCAAACACACACAACAATAATATATCATCATCATATCCACAAACAACTAAATCATAACAACAACAAACAATCAAAGAAAATACAATTCACCACTTCATTTATCATATCACTTAACACACAAAACTCATCCACACACAAGTTGCAATGGACACAGACTACGATTTACATATGCATGTGATGTCAATCAAGTATATATAACATATATATGTATTGATTAGTCAATTTGCATACATATAATGCATGTCACACAAGACTCAATGCAAAATCATGTTGTCACTATACATACTTAAAACGATTTTTGCCAACATCAATCCATTTACCACACTCATCCATCACAACATAACAATTTCATACTTTAATTATCATACCAAGTTATATTCAAACACTAGTTTAAGAACAATTCAAGTCAATAACCATTAGCTTACAAAATGAAGAAGTATCAAATTTGAAATGGCACCCGAAGGCAACCATCCCACACCTGACGAGGCACAACCAAAGAGCACACAAGCTCTTTAGATGACTGGTGATCGATGTGATTCACTTCATGTTCGCCCATATCACCACAGGGAGTTCCCTAGGGCTCCCATGTTTGACAAGGACCAACCCATGCCCGACGTGAGTGTCATAGTATGACACTCTCTACCCCCACATACATATCACATAATATAATATGATATAAAAAATGAATAACCTCGATATAATAATGAGCTCAAAGTCATACAAGTAGAGAGGTATCACATATTAATATAAACTAAAGTTAGGGAAATAACAAATTACAAGGGAAATAAAATCAATTACTCAATATAACTAACATAAACCAAATTCTAACTAGTCCTAATCTAAGCCCTGATGTTAGATGTCCTATAAGAGCTCTTTCAAAACAAGAATTATGTCTCATCATCGATGTCATCAAGATCCTGATAAACATTACCTGTAACAACATACATATAGACAAGACATGGAATACAAGCGGGTGAGAAAACTTCTCACTCTAGCTTATGGCATGAAATAAGAAACAGATAGTCAAACACATTTCATACATTATTTATACAATAGCATGATAATAATAATCAACTATACCATCATTCATTTATTATTACCAACCCAAGTACTTGTTAACAATGCATCAATCATAATTTATTCAGGCACATGAAAATGTGGAATGCAGTAGACATGGACTCTCGATTTGCATGCATGTGGAACCAATCTCAAGATATGTGTAGTGCATATTAAATTATTTGTCAATTTGCGTGCATATGATGAATGTCATACAGTTTATTTCATATTATGAGATTCAATTTACACATATGCTCAACGATTTGCCATCCAACGATTTGCCACACGTACGATTTGTCATGCTCACAATTATTATTAATCATACATACACGTTATCGCATACACAAATTCCTAACAGGAATCAAGCATCTCACTTAAGCAATTAACCAAGCATACATGTTCATTTCACACTCATCAACATTCAAATTATTCTTCACACATCTCTTAGTTCTTAGGATGGCTCATGCCCAATGTGACCCATATCACGCTCGGCAAGATAGCAATAAGGACTCCCTTGGAGCCCCCATGCCCAGTGAGCCTCAACCCATGCCCAACGTGAGTATTATAGAGACTAGTAGTCTCATTAATGTCCAATGAGGCATGCCAAACTCCCGACACAAACAAAACAGAGAGTAAACCCTACTCTTGGACACCCAACGTTGAATGAGATGCCAATGGCGGCCAATATCATATTAGAAACACCAAAACCTACAAAATTGTAATTTGCAAACAACGAATCCAAAACATGCCTTTATCATTCTAATACATAAAAACACTCTAATTTATCATACAATGCATCTATAAGGCATGAATTTCATACCATCGTACGTTCCCATCAAGTACTCACACAATAACCATTCTTATGTGTACTCTTAAGGTTCCCACAAGAACCCACAAGCAACTCAATTCATACCAAATAGGCTTAATGCACAAAGTTAATCATATATACTCACAATTAATATCAATTTAAGAGTAATAGAATCATGTGGTAAACAATAAACAAGAGCAGAAAACAATGGGGATTTTCCCCCTTCATGCAATGCATACAACACAGAGGTTGGGGTCAACCTCATTACCCATCAGTTATCCCACGCCCTAGTGCGAGAATTCTGACTCCCCCTTTACATTTATCAACAAATAGCAAAGAACGTGGGTCTCCAGAATGAGAGCGTGAGCAAAAATCGACATGTCTCACTTTTTAATATGAAACCTAGCTTAACCTCCCTCTAACTCATCCACGGTTAGTCAACCTCAACTTTGCTTACCTATCTTCCCCTCGCTTTATAATAATAACGATAATAATAATAATAATAATAATAATAATAATAATAATAATAATAGTATTAAGATTGTAGTAGTGGTGATGATAGAAACCATGATCTCACCCATATATAAAGAACTATAATTAGTTAATCTTATTTTTTAAGAAATGTTCTTATTTTAAAAATAAAAAAAAAACATTTCTTATGAATTTATATTTTGACAATCAGAGCTGATACCAACTACCAAATAAGTGTCAATTAATGCTAATAGCAAAGCATGGGTCTCTACAAAGTACTCAAATATTACAAGTTTTACTCTCTCTATATTATTGTTCTCATTAAGAACCTCACATACATTTTAATCACCAACTAGAGATTAGGATATCATTTTCTTTGTAATTTGATGTCATATCAGGCATTTGCTTGGGGATCTAGAACCATTGAATATAAAAGAGATGCAAAAATCTTGAGAGGCAACTTGAAAAAGCTTTATTACAAGTTAGACAGAGGAATTGTATCATTAAAACAAGATCTTTAGTTAGACAGAGGCATTAATGTATGCTCGTTAAAAATTATATTATGAGCATCTAATTTTGGCCACATTTTACTTAGTTTATTTATTTTGATTTTTTTCTTTATTTATTTTCTTTAATATGCAAAATCAGTTTTACCTTGAACAAATTTGACCCATTTTGTGCATATAGTTGTTATTGGGCTAGTTTAGGCCTACCTTCCGTTTTCTGGTAGCCCCACTTTTTTCTCTCTATAAAATGATAAAATACAAAAAAATAAAAATAAAAAAATCCAGCAATCACTAAATATCTATTTCCATCCTACATCCTTAACTTGTGCAATTAGGGAAATAACAGTTTCTAAAGCAAACTTGAAACTAGTCATTTGCATCACATGATTAGATTGGGAACAAAAGGGTCAAATGAAAATCAACCAAAGAAATAGTAAAGGGACATAGAGATTTCCAACAAAATAGGACGAAAGGTAAAATATAGAAATTAAGAATGATATGCATGCTTGTCCCTTTACCCTGGTAATTTGTTTGGCAATGATGGTGATGAAGCAGAATAAGTAATGATGAATCCATGGTGAATTGGTGATAGCTTTTCAAAGGGTTGCCACAAACCCAAAAATGAGGGGTTGTTGCTTCCCTGGGATTTTGGATCGCTCCCGCAGTCGCAGGGGCACCTTAAGGTTTATTAAAAGTCCTTGTTATGGTATTGCTTTTCCCACTTTTTTTTTTTTTTTTTTTTTTTTAATTTTTTTTTTGTTTAAATTTCATTTCGTTCATACCATCCTTTTGCTTTTTTGTTTGTTTATTTTGGTTGATTTGTATGTTAGTTTTGAACATTAATTTTGGGTGTTCGAGAGAGTCTGAAGAAAACAATTCTGGTCACTCTATTGATTGATAACCCGTTATGATTATTAATTATGCATGAAACTAATGAGGGTTGTTTGTTTTTTGCAATGGTTTCAGTTTTTTAGATTGGTTCATTATTATCATATTCAAGATTTTAGTGTTAGCTAGATAGAACTTTAATTATCTAATACAAGAACAACTTTCATACAAAGTAATAGGTAATATGATTCTCAAGTACATTTTGTTTCAAATGTTAATGTACAAAATAGAAAATGTGGTATGCTACAATAGATTTTAGAGATTATGTTGCCGAAAAGAAACAAACAAAAGAAATCAGTAGAGGTGCTTAAAAAATAGTTCGTCTAGACAAGCTAGTCTGAGAGCCCAATGAACTAGATTCTAAAAAAAAACTAATTCAAAAAACAATTGTTCTAATCCGATAAATTTTAGGTCTAATAAGCTTTATTTTTTTAAATAAAATAAAATGAAGCAATTTAACTCAGTTTGATGGGCCAATAAACTATACTGACCAACAAAATAAGTATCGGTAAGAATTTTGGTCGAATCAAATTAGATAAGTCAACTTCCTTGCAAAATTTGACTCACAACTTGACTTTTGACAATTCTAAAGATTAAGTTTTAAGAAGTAAAAAAATATAGTGGTGTGTGATATAAGGAAAAAAAAAACTACGATTAGTTCCTTGTATACACAAAAGGTTTTGTAGTCTGTATATGACAACCACAATATTTATAAAATGAGAATTAGTATATTTTTTATTTTAGTTTTTGCAATACCAATATCCATTAATCTTCCTACAATGGAAAAGTAAAACCCAACATAATCTTCATGGGGAAGTGTTTATAATAGCCCAATTACATGGTGACCATCCAAAAAAAAAAACAAATATATATATATATATATATAGTATGAACTCCACGATATTGATCTTCAAGAAGTTTTAGCAATTGGTGACCATAAGTGCATGTAAGATTTTTTAATTTTTTTTTTAACTTTCTCCCATTTGAATAGCATTGACATCTATTTAAGAAGAAAAACAAATAATAATCTTGAGCAAAATTCATAGGGTGGTGAAGGTTTCTCCTCATTTTTCCTCCGTCAATTCTCAACCAAAAGAAATCGCAATTTTGAGAATTGATCATCGAAAATAATTTAACATATTGAACAAAACGTACAAGGTTTCAATAAATTTCCTCAGGCAAATGTTCTTGAACCTTATTGAACTTAGATTCCATTCCAAGATCATATAATTTATAAATACTATTAGGATTGAATTAGCTATCATTGTTATAATTTTAATTTAAAATAGATAACATCATGTTAAACTCTTAAACTAATGAGAATTATTAGGATAAATCTAATGATAAGACTTGAAGTATATGCATACGATCCTATTTTATGTTTAAATCTTGATGTCATTAATGTAATTTTGAGTAATAAAAAAATTTCTTAAATTAACATAATCTATTGAATTTCAATCACGACAAGTATAACATCCGGTGCATTAGAAAGATATAGAGTTATCAACAAAATCAACATATGATATTAAAAACTTTTTTAGGAGAGGTTAGTTTCACTTTGATAATTTCTTCACATGAAAAGGAATTAATCTTTAATTGTTGATTGAGAATACTTGCACCTGAGAAATAATTTTATTAGTTACCTAGAAAGAATGAGCACGACACATACTTTCAAGTAGTTCTAGGAGAGAAAAAAAAATAATTTTCTTCATAAGTTAATATAAACTAATTTGTAAAATTTCTTTAGTATTAATTTTTTAAAATTTTATTTTTAACTCGAACATAACTTAATTTTAATTTATAGATATATTTATTTCACGTTTCATTTTATTTTTCTTAAAATGTACAATTACGAATTGTTGGTGTGAATTAGATGAGAAACTATTTCAATTTTCTGTATACACAGCTTTGTGTTTTCAAATCGAGGTAACCACAACTACATGTAGATGAAAACAGAGTCCTCATATTGTGATTGTAATATGGTTTAACCTCATCACGAGACTCACAAATTCAATACAATTCAAGGAAGACCAAGTCCTTATAACAGATTCACAACAAAGGCAAGACACATAGACCAGTGAAATCAATAGAAGTTTCACAATATTTACTATTCAATTAATTTGAGTATGAGGAATGGTTGACTATGCCAGTCCACATATTACTAAAAAATTCTACTTATTATCAATATGTATGTCTATGTGTAACACCTTTCAGTATTCAGCTATCTTCAATCACTTTTCTGTGTGAATCCAAGGAAACTTGTGTCTTTAGGAAATTCCTAGATGCTAAATTGGTTGAAGTTAAACAACATTAAATGCCAATGTTTTTCATGATTGAGTCCAATTTCATAACAAGTAATGAATTGTACTTGTTATTTGTAGATTCATCTAATTCTAAACATAGTGTAAATCGGAGCAGAGAGAGTCCTAGAGGGCCTCTGGTTGTTTGCTTTGGGGAGATGATGATAAATTTAGTTCCAACAGTGCCAAGAGTGTCCCTTGCAGATGCAACTGCCTTTAAGAGAATCCCCGCTGGAGCCACTGCCAATGTTGCTGTTGGAATTTCTAGATTAGGATGCTCAACAGCTTTCATTGGCAAGGTGAAATTCTCCATAATATTATCTTACCATTCTTATTTATTTATTACTATTTTTATTGTTATTGTTGTTACTTTTATGAATAAACAACTAATTTCATCCTTGAAGTTGGTGTGGGTCGTCACATTAGTCCATGGGTCAAAGAAAATTCTAAAAAGGTTCCCAAACTTGTAATTCTTTATTCAGATTAATCTTATAGATGTTAGTTGAATGATAATATCAATATATGTTTAGTGATTGAAATGATAGTAAGTGATTAAATTTAGAGATTTAGATGAAACAAATTATAACTTTTGGAATTTATTTGACATGTTAATTCTAGAAACTACTATGAGGGTGTCTCATAATTTCAGGAACTAAAATGATTGTTTATTCTTATTTTTATTGTTAGTAAGAATTGTTTAATTATGAAAAATCCTATTGCTGATACTTTACTTACTAGCAACTTTGCATCAATTATATGAATAAATCCAACAAGTCAAAACAACTTGACCACCCTGTCTGTTAATAGGGATATGTTTGTTGATAATGATAACTTCTCAAACAGAACATCGTTTTGCTTCAGTGTCTGATACCCTGATAATTCAAAATCTAATGCATTACAGCATTCCATCCAATGTTTATGTTACTTGTGTGTCGTGTGAATTTGGGGTGCTAAAGCTTTGAATTGTGTATGTTGTGAAATCAGCATTTTTATCTTTAGTGAAACAAAATTCAATGCGTAAGCAAAATCTTCAGATTTGAATCTTTCTTTCTTTTTAATCTACCTGAGTCCATTAATTTGTCTGACCACAGTGTCTCTGATGTTTGCATGGAAGGTGGGGAATGATGAATTTGGCTATATGTTATCTGATATTCTGAAACAAAATGGTGTTGACAATTCTGGCCTGCTCTTTGATGCTAATGCAAGAACAGCATTGGCATTTTATGCTCTTAAGAGGGATGGACAAGCTGAATTCATGTTTTACAGAAACCCTAGTGCTGATATGCTTCTTCGTCCTGATGAAATTGGTGTGAGCCTCATAAAGAAGGTAATACAAACAGTATAGAAGGAAATCCACCATGTTCCTTTTCCCCTTAAAATATATTTTGATAGTTTCATCTCATCTTTCATAAACAATATCTTTTTAATCATGTTATTGATGCGACTACTGATTTCGTCAATAACTAATCTCTGCTTGAGAATCTAACTAGTTACTTTTAATGAAATCTTCTCCTCCAATCACATTTTTTTCATTCATAATACTCGAACCTAAAATCTTGTATAAGAGGACCAACTTCAGTTTCTCTCAGACAGAAGACTAGTTGCTTTCATAGACTATGGTTGAAATTATATTTTCTAAATTATCAATTAAAAATTGATTTTAGAAGTGAATACTACTTTTCAAGCTTAACCTAAAAGAATGCTACAATTTTCTGTTCCACAAGTTCCTCCAAAGTCCTAAAAGTAACTGTCAAATTGACAGATTTGTACATTTCAATTATTTTGTTTCATTAAGTATGTTATGTTGTGCAGGCCACAATATTTCATTATGGTTCAGTCAGCTTGATTCAGGAGCCTTCTAGGTCAGCTCACCTTGCAGCAATGAGTGTTGCCAAAGTGTCTGGCTGTATCCTTTCCTATGCCCCAAATATGGCATTGCCACTGTGGCCATCAAAAGGGGCTGCTAGAAAGGGCATCATGAGTATCTGGAACTATGCAGACATTATTAAGGTACATGTTTTGTGTGCACGCGTATACGTGTGATTCTCTTAAGATACATGTGTCATAAGTATTTCAAAATGATCCTTCAGTGTCATTTTTGACATCAAATTGCCCTCATAAAGTAATCATTTGATGCCGAAGTCTGACAATGAAGAACCAATTTGATGTCAACACTTGATATTAAAGGACTATTTTGATGTATTGATCTTTGGAGGATCAAACTGATTACATGTGTTTTTATTGTGCACCCAAATGGGTGTCAAGTATTAACTATATTTGCCTATGGTCTGTTTTGAATTACAGGTAAGTGTGGATGAAATTCGATTCTTGTCTGAAGGTGATGATCCTTATGATGACAATGTGATCATGAAGAAGCTGCACCCTTACAATCTCAAACTGCTGCTTGTCACTGAAGGAGCACGAGGCTGTAGATATTACACCAAGGTGTTGATCTATAAACAAAAACTTGCATGAGAGCTATTCTATTTATGTTTACAAGCATGGTGTTGCTCTACTAATAAATGTTAAAGTAAATTATACTAGTACTTCTTAAAATTTTGTGAGGTTGCACATAATTTCTGTTTTTTTAATGTTTACAACAATATCTCTTATAAGAAAATATAGTGTAATATTTTTCAAACAATAAAAGAATTAATGTAATGTCTAAAAAGTGTTAGTGTCATGTTTTTCAAACATTTAGGAGAGATTAGTGTAGGAGGAAAACAAATAAGAGATTCATCTGCAATTTCACGAAACTTTAGAAGGTGTTAGTGTATGTATTGAGGTTAAGTCCTAAATGATTTTGTAATGTAAACATTTTGTCCTAGATACATGAAATCTCTCTATTTTCTAATTCAAATTTGGTTGGTTATGTTTAGACTTAGTCATGTAGATGTTCCTCATTGCTGCACAGGAATTTAAAGGATGGGCTGCTGGTTTTGAGGTGGAAGCAATTGATCCAACTGGAGCAGGTGATTCCTTTATGGGAGGACTTTTGAGCATTGTGGCAGCACACAACCAAATTTATAAGGTGACAAATAGTATTTCATATTCAGTTATCTAAGAGGGTTGGATAAAAGTATTAGTGCCTTACTCATGTCACATGTGACTAGTTTTCTTGGCCTCTAACTTTTGTCTTGGTTAAACCCAAAGAAATTGAAGCCATGTTATTTCCTCTACCATTTTTAGGATGAGAAAAGATTAAGGGAGGCTCTTGATTTTGCAAATGCTTGTGGTGCTTTCACAGTGACAGGGAGAGGGGCCATACCTTCACTTCCCACAAAAGATGCTGTTCTAAGAATTATGTTCTCATACTTCAATTCATAGACGAGTAGTACATTTGCCAATGTGGCAACTAAATTGGTTAACTGAAAGGTGTTCAATTTAATTCATGTTAGTTGAGGCCTCTGACATGTCATAGTTTCCATTTGCCATAAACATTTTCCCTAAAAAAAAAAATATATAAATTGGATGAGTCTAACAATTAGGTGAAAACTAACATCTTGGTCGATATTCACTAATGTCTTGCTATATCACGTTTTTATTGTAAAATTTATATTTGTGTTTTTAAGCATTTATCTTGATATTATACAAAACTTAAAATATTTGACTCTGAAGTGGTATAGAATTTAATTTTGTTTTTATATTTTCTCACACTTAAATAATCAAAATAATTAGTATATCTCTTTTTCTATAAATTAATTGTTCTCTCGACATTTTTTTTAATTATTTTTAGAGATGGGAATAGGTCATGCTAGACTTTAAATATATAGGTTAAGCTTGTAAAATTAAAGTTTAAATCTGACTTATTATTTATTATAGGTTTTTTTTATAGGTCTAACGTGATCTTTTTAAAGAATGACATAACTCATTAACCTATTTAAAAGCTTATTTAAATTATTAATGTTAATAAATTCAATAAATTTAATTTTAAAAAAATTAATAAATTTATTTTAAAATATAATTTATTCAATATTATTAAAATTGAAATTTTAAAAGAGATATAGGAGAAAAATTGAATATTTTTTGTTAAAGAGATAATTTATATATAACCATATATACTGCACATGTCATAAACTTATGAATCTATAATAATAAAATAATTATTTTATAAAAAAAATTATTTAAAAAAATTATAATATACATATATTAATTTTTTGTTATATTATATAAATAAATAGGTTGATTTATCAAGTTTAATAGTCTTTTCTATAAATTTAAGTTTAACTTTTTTATATAAATAAATTTTTTAAAAATTTTAAATTTGACATTTTTATTAAATATGTTAAACCAAACCAAATTTTAAAGAAGTCAAATCATAAACTTCTGTTTAAGATCCAATTTATTTCTATCACTACTTATCTTAGATGACAAAAAAAAAATTACATAATAGAGAAGGAAAGTCATTTCGAAAAATCTGATTAAATTTTTATAAAAAAAATAATTATATAGTGTAATTACGGACTGATAACCTCAACCATTTTGTATTGTATAAAATGTTGCGTGCTAGCCAACATATAAACATTATAATATTCAAGTTTCTTTTTATGATATATTTGAGAATGCCCTTACTTCATTGGTTAAATAACGTAAATTACATTTTCCCCCTCTGTAATATCTGATTCAAAGTTTTATTCTTTTTATTTTTAATTTTAAAATTTTATAAAATTTATAATTTTAGTCCTTTGGTTCAATTTTCATCATTAATTATTAAAATTATAATATTAATGATGAGATATTAAATAAATTATATGATAATTAATATTTAATAATATTAAGACTATATATTTTTTTAATTATCATTTTTATCTCAAAAAAATGATAAAATTAGATTAAAAATAATAAAAATAAAAACTAAAAATATATATTAATTAAATATTATTAAATGTTAATTATTATATTATTTATCTAATATGAGGTTATGATCAACATTATAAATAATGAATAAATATTTAATAAAGGATCAAAATTGTAGATTCATAAAGTTGAGAGATTAAAATTATAAAATTAGAAATATAAATTAAAATTGCATATTTTTATCATAGGAGGATTAAAAGTGTAATTAAGTTATATTAAAAAATATATATTTTTAACTTAACACGTGCTGTTTAATGGTTAAAAAGTTTCCACATAAATTAATCAATCTTTTAATTATCTTACTTTTATTTATCCAGACTATTTTAAAATTGAACTTATATTTTGAAAGCAACTTTACAAATGCGAAACCTTCCACTTAAACTTCTCTTATTCTACATAATTTTTTTATATAAATTTTAATGTATTACATTTACTATATATAAAAGAAGTTTTTAACATAACACGTGTCACTAATGGTTAAAAAATTTCCCGCCTAAAAAAATTTATCTTTTCAATTTTTTAATTAATTTACTTTTATTTATCCAAACTTTTTAAAATTTCAAAAGAACTCTACCAATGCGAAACCTTCCACTCAAACTTCTCTTTTCTATTTTTTTTTATAAATTTAATGTATTACATTTTTATAAATTTTATAATTTAATCTAAATAATTGAAAAAAAAAATTAAAAAGCTTAAAAAAATAGTCAATACGTCTAGATTAAATTAAATATAAAATATTATTATCTATATTTAAAATTAAAAAATTCAGTATTTTTAAAACAAAAAATTATAACATTTGCTCTCAAACAAAAAAAAATCCGCCCCCTTCTCTCTTCTAATTTTATTTCACATTACTTTTGCCTTCTTCTCCCATTTAATTTCATTTTTATTTTCTTTTTAAATTTAAAATTTTGATATTATTTTTTTTTTTTACATTCTCATTTTCTCATTCTTATAAAAAAAATGCAAAATATAAAAGAAGTTATTGATATTCATCAAAATTCAAAATTTTAAAAAATTATAGATTAATATTTTAATAAATATTAACATTATTTGTTCAAGTAATATTTTAAGATTTTTATTTTTATAATACTATTTTGTAATATATATATATATAAAGAGAGATGAGGGATCCATCTACTCTAGGAGTAAGTTTACCTAAATTTATTCCGTTCAATAACTCATATTTTATATCAAATTTTAACGATCCAATCATTGAATTTAAAATTTTTAATACATAAATCAAATTTTTAAATTTTAAAAAAAATTAAAAATTATTTGATACTTCATTTCATTAATTCAAATTAATTAATGTATAAAATAATTTTATAATTATCTGTTCATTTAAAATATGTTAAATATATTATCATTATATCTTATGATTTCATTAAATATATTTATCATTACACGTCTTAAAATTACAAATATTTATATTTAAGATATGTTAAAAAAATTTAAATTTAAAATAAATTTTTCATGCTGTGAAAAAATACTTAAAATTTTATAAATATTTTAAGTAAAATAA